ACAATCTAAGGGACACTTTTAAAGACACCTCATTAACCTGTGTTAACCTGTGTTAACCCTGAGCCTGTTTTTCAGGTCTCACGCTCTAAAATTACATTCCCAGAACAAATGTCCATATCTTCCCTTCTAAAAGGGTTAAATTAATCATCTTTTTTCTCAAAGTAATAATAAACCTGTGAGTTGGATGTAGAAAAGTCAGAATCAATATAGATTCAGAAAATTCAGATTGAACATGGTAAAAAACTGTAAATTATAGTGTCCGTTCAAAAGATATTTTGTACTTATAGTGAAAACTAACCTTGGATGATGGGTTAGTAGACTAAAAGCTTTAGGAATCCAAAGTACAACATATAATAAGTACCCTGTATCAAGATTGATGCAAAACAATTGTTATATTGACCTTGATATTTGACCTTTTTAGACAGATTTAGCAAAGAAAACCCTCTTCTGGGGCCATTTGGGTGGATTTTCCTTATCTCTGGCCCCCCTCCTTCGATTTTCACATGTAACATCTCTTTCTGACCGTTAGAGCCAATGGAATCGAAGGGAAATCCTCCCGCACACACTCATGTTAAAAAAAAAGTGGCGTCTTTGCGCATTCAATCTTTCTACAGAACGTAGGAATGGCCTGCTCTGATATTTGAAAACGGAATTGCAGTTTTATTGCTTATAGATTACCAGAACATTTCAAAGGGGACACAGTCACATTAGATATTAACCTATGGATTAACTACAGCATCGTTTTTCTCGTTTTAATGCCATTGAAGACCAGTTTAGACCAGACAAAGACGAAGGTAAGCCATATTAGCGTTGTGGGCTACCTAGCGCCACTTGTTTTGATGTACGTTTTTGTTGATAATGTTGCGAGTATCTTTCGGGTGTTGAGGTGGGCACCGTTAGATTCTGTGTCTTTACGATCATAAACGATGTGTTGGATGTGCACCTAGGATAAGTAATAAGGGAGCTAGGAGTGATTATCGGTGCAGTAATAGGTTAGCATTTTTTTTTTTCGCTCGGGGCTAATTCAGAGGGTCAATGTTAGCATTGTGTGTTATTTTTGAAAAAAAAAATGAAAAAGATCAGTTAAATTCGTTTTTTCCCGTGATATGGATACAAAAAATATTCATAGTTTATTAAATATTAAAGTTCCTTAGACGTTGTTTCCTGCAAATTACGCGATTTCGGGCCCGGATACGGGTCCGTGGGGCTTAAGAGGGTTTAAGAGAGTTTATGGTTTGCCATGCACGTTCAGATTTAATATGTTTGGTGGGTTTTCTTCATCACTGAAAGGGATTAATGAAATATAACGTTTAAAAATGTTTTTTACATATGACTTTTCTTAATGCCTTTTTATGACATCATAGTATATAGCTTTATTTTGATCGTTTATTGAATGATGTTGAAACATAGTTAAGAGCAGATGAGTAAACACTAATTATATCATTAGATCAAAAGTTCATATAAATAAAGGACCTCCATGATACTGCCCTTTTTATCTCAAGAGGGTAATGCATGAACTTGAGTCCAACCTTACATTATTTAATGTTCTCCCCTGTCTTTTTAGTTTTTGCTGGTGCTGTTGTTTGAGTTGTTTGTGTTGTGATGTTTTCCAGTTCTCCCGTCAGCGTTCACAGCAGAGACTTCCTCCTGTCCTTCCCGATCAAAGCCGGCAGTCACTGGTTTGTTGGAGTGCAGAAAGAAGGATGAAAACAAGCTCATTAAAAACCTCATCACAGGTGAGAGAGTACACAACAAACAAAAACAACTATATGTTTTAATACGTAAGCTTTCATGCTTTTACAAAGGGGCTTTAATTATAAATGACTTCCTATAATCGTATAAAATTGGCGAAATATCCAATCGGGGGATGTTTTTTAAACTTATTTATTCATGAAAATAAATTACAAACCATACTCTGCCTATGTTCACAATGAAGCCTGAGAGACTTTTTCTTGAAGCAGTTGAATTAACACTTGTATAATATAATAATCTACATTGTATTAAATCATTTGAAAGGTTGAACTCAACCACCAGTAATATATTTTTAGAATTAAATTATTCAAGATTGCAATATTTTCTTCATTGGTATTTGTACTGCTTTAAACAGTATCCAACAAGCATCCATCCTTATTTTATTTGCACAGTTTAGGACTGCATCATAGTGAACCCTTGGAGGAAATGTGCCGTTATCATTTGCTTATTTGAAATATACATCAACAACAGAAAAATGTGTATGAGGATAATGTGACACAGAATTACATTTTAACGTCCACTACTTGACCTGTAGCTGACACATCTGACCCTGTACACTCTGCTGCTCTCTCTGTCTGTGGAGCAGACGTCCGAGTGGACAGCGCCCTCTCTCTTCCTCCCGGCCTGCCTGCCAGCGTCCTCTTCCTCTGTGTCCATCAGGCGGACTGCAGCGGGGATCAGACGCAGGCCCGCTCCCTCTGCAGCGCCGCTGTCACCGCCATGAAGGCTGCTCTGAAGGTAACCCCGTTCTGAGTCTGCTCGGTGCACCATGTGGTGGAGGTTTAATGTGTAAGGGCGGAGCACATCATGCCACTTACAGAGAAGTATGGACAAACTGACTTTGAACCACTTTCAAGTCTTGTTGCAGATTCTTTGGACCAACTATCTGTCCCCTAAGGAAAAAGATAAATGCTCGATTTAACATATATTAGAGCATGGGCGTAATTTCCACTGAGGACATGTCCCCCCCACTTTTCAAAATCTCGTTTGTGTCCCCCCCACTTTTCAAATGTGTTTTTTTTTTACGCAAGTGGTCATCGTCACGGAGGAGCGTCTGTTTGTGTGTGTGGCAGGAGCGCAGTTTGTGTGTGAGAGAGAGACAGAGAGAGTTACAGGGGTTGTTGTATCTGGTGCTAGCTCGGAGCTAACAGAGATTAGAATCTTTTTCAACAGATTGTCGGACTGAGAGGCTGAGATAACGTCAGCTCAGGGAGGTAAAGGACTCGCTGAGTGATTGTAAGTTATCTCAGTGGGTCTCAAACGGTTTGGTCCAAACAAATATTTTCCATACTATTTAAATATAAGTTGTTCAAAATAAATAATAAATAATTCCAATGTCAGTAAAAAATTAAAAACAAAGTTTGAATGGGAAGTGATTAGTAAAATATGCATAAATAAAAAGAAAGAATGCAGACTAGGTAAAGATATGAGAGAGGAGTTGATCGGTTGTGAGCATATTCTAATGGTTTTTGGAGTATTGAAATATATACAGTTCTGTTTCATATGAGTGTTGAGAGTTGTATCCATAAATCTCTTAATTTGTGCACCAGATTGATGCTTTAACTTCAATTTAAAGAAAAAAANTGCTCCATCAAGGACGGTGCTACAGGCCGCAAGTCAGTGCACTTACAACTACAATAAGCATGTTAATGTTAATCTAACAGCTCCGGCGATCCACTAGCAGCCCCCCCCCCATTTTGCATTTTGAAATGCTCCCGATTTTTGAGGTCTAGAGGTTGGCAAGTATGATATAAATAATACACTTGCCTTGCCTTGCCTTCATCCCACTGGCTTGAGTCAAAATAAATAAAATAAGAAAGCCTTTTTTTGTTTCACAGCATGGAAATGTTCAGTGTTACAACAGCGATGGGACAGTGCTGATTAAAGGCAAAAATTAAAACATGTGAAATAAAATAGTATTCCGTATGTTTTGCATATGATCAGTGTGATTGAACATGAGCAGTGTGATTGAACATGAGCAGTTTGATTGGACATGAGCAGTGTGATTGAACATGAGCAGTGTGATTGAACATGAGCAGTGATGATCTGTTAATCTTTTGTCTCTTTGGTAATTGTCTGTGTTACTCACCAGATGCCCAAAGGGTCAGATGAAAGCTGGGTACGGAAGCTGTACGACCAACACCTGAGCAGCAAGCCCCACCCTCACTTCCAGAAACCCCGCATGTCCAACAGCGCCTTCGTCGTTCTGCACTTCGCTGACACGGTGAGTGATGAAGGTCAACACAGAGAAACTCTAGGAATACTGTTTGTCTTTGGACTGTAGGATAGTTCCCCAATGAGAAGCCTCAATATGTGAACATGTCTCTTTTTTCCGGTTTATGTTATTTCTAATGACAGTTTTCCTTTTTTCATCAGGTGCAATATGAATGTGATGGCTTCTTAGGAAAGAATCGAGACACAGTCTTTGAGGAGCTCATTAACATCCTCAGAGCAAGTCAGGTAGATATTTTCTATGTATTCTATTTAATTTAGTTTCTATGTGACTTTGTGATCACTGACTTTTCTCTGTGTGTGTTGTCATGTGTGTGTCAGTCCGAGCTGGTGGCTGAGTTGTTCCAGCAGCAGGGAAACGCTTCCTCTGTGGCTAATGGAAGTGTTCGCTCAGGAAAAAGAGCCACCAGAGAACATAAACTGACAGTGGGTTTCCAGGTGAGCTGGTATGACTTTCATCTTCTAATCACTTCATTTTGCATGCAGCAATTTGTCTGTAACGTTTTGTTTTGTTTTCATTGTGTTGGTGTCAGTTCCGACAGTCCCTAGAGATGCTAATGGACACTCTGAACAGCACCACTCCTCACTATGTCCGCTGTATCAAACCCAACGATCTCAAAGAACCATTTATGTATGTCTTTGTTCTCCACAAAATTGCACATTTATGCAATTTGAATTTGTGTTTTTTCTGACACTGAGTGTGCCCACAGCAGCATGACATCCTTTTTTTGTTCCATTGCTTTTTCTTAGGTTTGACCCCAGGAGGACGGTCCAGCAGTTGAGAGCCTGTGGGGTGCTGGAGACAATTCGTATCAGTGCTGCAGGTTTTCCATCCAGGTACTGAATATTTCCTAGACATCAAATCATATACTCTGCAAATTGATACAAAGAAAATTATATTGGAGAGGATATTAGGAGTTGCCATTCTCCTCTTCCTCTTTATTGACGAAAGAAACACATGGAACAGAGTTGAGTTTTTCTTAAACACTTTAACCTTACAGGACTTTACTAGGGATTTCTGTAACTACAGCAATGTGTGGTAACTAGACCATTAACTTCAAGTTCTTTTTTTATTAGAATTATTACTACCTTTGAAGCAGCATTTGATTGATTTGTTTTAGTTTTTTGCTATATGTTCTCACAATTTACTTTGAATGTTTTAGAGACGTAAAACATGCTTGAGATACATGAAATTTTATTGACTTCCAGTATCTTTTAATTAATCTAATAGTATACATAGTGTAAATAGTGTGGTTTTGCTGCTCATCTTTAAACAATAAAACCATCTCTCGAATCTCAAATGTTTCATCAAACGCACCAACATGAAATAAAAAAGGGTAAAAGTGTAACTAAATACTGAAAGCATATTAGTATAAATAATCAGTACTGTAATATGTCTCTTTATATATTTTATTTTTTTAAATGTTGACTTCAGTGACATAATAACTACAGTAAAAATAATGTCAAGTTAATAAAGATTGGACCAAAAGAAAAAGAGGCCTAGTATCCTCCTATAACTATAAAGCTCTTTTCTTTAAAGGTCACCTATTATGCAAAATCCACTTTTTCATGTCTTTTCTATATCAACATGTGTCCCCTCTGTGTGAAGACATTCTGAAAGTCTCAGGAAAAAAGATTCTCTCTCTTTTTGTCCTGATCCATTTCTATAAAAACCTGTCTGAAAATGAGCTGATCAGATTTTGGCCACTTTATGATGACGATTTTTTTGGCTTATGTAACCATTAGCCAATCAGCAACCAGGGTAACCCCCCCCCCCACCGTATCACCTGAATCTCCTCCTAGAGCACCATTGAGTTATTTTTAACCAAATCTCTCTCAGATTTGTATCATAGGTGACCTTTGAGATTTCCATCCCAACCCTTTATCTCCAGGTGGACGTACGAGGAGTTCTTCTGCAG